TTTTAGCTTGAAGAGAAAATAACAAATGAAATTTCAACTGTATAGAAATAATGACAAAGGATTTTTGTTTAGGTCAAAAATGTGTTCTGAATATATTTTAACACTGAAACAGTAAGTACAAACATACAACATTTAAATTTCAGTGGCATTTTTAATTCAAATCCCAGCAACACAGATTTACTTCCATATTTATGCTTATTTAGTTCTTTGTTTTCATTTATTTTAAACCATAACTTAAGTATAACACTACTCCTCTTTATGTATCATTATCTGTTTTTAGCTGAATTACTTCAAAAAAATCCTCGTTTCTCGCCTCAACATGTTGGAGGGAATCTTCTCTTCCCTCTAGAGGGCGCCACAAGCATATTCTAAGGCCTGTTCATGATCTGCAAGTTACAAGTGATGTAACTACCACTGATTTCTATTTATTCACTGGATTGCTGATTGCCTGTTGGTAGTACAGGGTTGAAGTGAAGCCTCCGGCCACCATATTGGTACTCCCTAGTTTGACCGGTCGCAATGCAAACAATATGTGCGCTACAGCATCGAACAATGATGATGTTCTCATTTTCAGGGGGACCTTTCATTGCATAAGTAGATTACTTTAACTTATAATAAAATAATAGGCACATCACATTGCATAGTCATTATGAAGTCAATAAAGTCTATAAATCATGTAATATACAAATCCATTACAAACAAAATTAGTGTGTTAATGGAGCATAGTAATACAGATGTGCCAAAAGTGCTAAATTACTGATATATATGTAATATACATTAGTTATTACATTGTTCTGGTAATTACATCTTTCATAAAATGTAAAGATTTTACATAAAGACTTATTTACAAGTACATGTCTGTTAACACTATAGTATTTTTCTATTTGCAAATTGTGCATGCATGATGCCATGTACTTTTATGCAGTGTCTCTGCATTAGCCTTTAAATCTGACAGATTTACAATAGAGCTAAATTAATGAACCAATTTAGTAATTCCACAGAGCTTCAATCTCTACACTAGCAAAATTACATAAATTGGTAAAATAACAGGCAACATCAAATTCATATTTTGGTTTTTGCTTTTAGTTACAAGAATCTGATAATTTGAAAAAAAAAAAAAACTATACATACAATTATGTATGCACACACTGAAAGGGAAATTACCCTGTGAAACGTTTTCCCAAAGCTGGCAAACTGTTTGTTTTTGCAGCCAAATGCTGAACATGTAGGTATTTTTACTGTCCGTGGGAGTGGGGAGGACCAACATGGCGTACGGTGGCTTCACTTTTTTTCGGGCAATCAACAATACACTGAATAAATAGGGATCAGTGGTAACTACCATCAGAGGCTCAACAGTATGAGGGAAAAAATATATATACATATGTTACCTATAAGGAAAATTTATGGTTGTGTTTGAATTGCCATAATTTGAAATCTGACTTTTAAGTCTTTTTTTCTTCCTTGTGGACTTGTTGAAGCTCCTTTAGAAAATCTTTGTATTATATTTTCTAATATATTTTCTAATGTAATGTATATGTGTACATTTCAGCATCCAGCTGCTAAACAGGAGGTAGACTTTCAAATCTAAATTTAATTTAAGTAACTGTCTCCAGAGGTGGTCCCAAGTCTGATTTGTGTTATTTGAGCAGGATCTCCTCCAGAAAAGTTGTGGATTTTTTTTTTTTCAACTTAAGGTTATAGTTATACCTGCTGTTTCATCATATTTGTCCTTCCACTTAACTTTCCACTATTTATTCTGATAGATAACTCTGTGATCTGCTGGCTTCTGTGTTAATTTTATTGCTCTAATATAGTTTAAACTTTTCAAATGGTTTTAATGAGCTGCAGTCATGATCAATACAGAAATAAACTCTTGAAATGCATTGATTGACATGTTATGAGGGATTTTTATTACTGAATTACTCTACGCAACTGTTTTAAGACATTCTAATCTAAGATGCACCTGTTCTTTCCATGTTATCAACGCAGTAGGGCTTTTACAGGAAAGAAGAATCACCATCAAGTAAAGCAGATGTTTTATTTCTATGTTTTTTCGTCATAGAAAAAAATCCTGACCAGACTGGAACCACCTGCACCAGACTGAAATCATCAAATCGAACGACTGATGAGTTTTGACTGTTGGAGAAAGACGTTCAACAAGATGGACAAGATGCAATGGGACGCCTGCAGGGAGAAAAATCCTCCATTTTTACAGATGGTGAGATGGCTGAAGCTGCTTTTTGTTTTATTGCACACAAAAATATTGATTTATATTTGAATATTGGGCTCATTCATGCTCTTGCACGTGCAGTTTTTTTTAAAGTGGAGAGGGTGTGTCTTTTTAAAAAAATCCTCCACAATACTTTTAGATAAAAAAATATGCTCCAGAACTCCACAAGTGGAAAAGTTTTAGTTTTCCCTGGTTTAATTCTGTAAAAAAATGTCTTTAAGGAACCTTTTGCTATCCTATTATTCATTGATTTATCGAAAACATTATAAACAGATTAATCAATTAACAAAATAATAGTTAGCTGCAGCCCTAATCTGGAAGTCAGTAGCAGACAGTTTGAGTTGATCCATATCTGAGACATTAGTTTGTTCTTTTCTCTTCCTGCTGCAGGAGGGGAGGGCTGTTCTGCATCTGAACAGGGTTTACCTGCTCAGGTAAGACCTTCTGACCTCTTATCTCCACCTGCCCGCCCGAGTCAGTAGTGATGAATGAGTCACGCATGAATTGACTGTTCCGCTCTGTTGGGATGTTTCTTGAAGCTCGTCTAGAGAACAACGTTTCGATTTGCCAGAATGTGACAAAACATGAAAGCAGTTGCTGGGAATTTTTCGCATTTTGCAGCTGTTTTTTTTTAAATATTCTCATATCTTCACTTCTGTTTTGTAAGCCTGTTTTCCTTCATACAGTTTATGTTTGAGACAGCCTTTTATTTCAAAGCTGGATTTGAGTACTACTGTTTTAGCATAACCAGTCCTCTACAAGTAGATCTTAGCCAGTCAGAGAGACTGATTTGTTTGAAGTAACCACATATTTATTTCTTTTGTGTTTTGGTTGGTGTAAACATCATGAGTCAATGAGGGTTCGTTTCTTTAAAACATAATATTCTATTCAGATTGTTTGTTGAGCTGCCAAATTGCTTTTAACCACCCAGCTGTTTAAGTTACCAGCTCCTTTTGGCACATACACTGCAGCAATTTATCCCTCACTGCTTATTTAAACTCTAAATGTTTTATTTACAACTTTTCTGGCCTCTTTGGAGAGCATTTACTGCCAGGTCTTACATATTAATTGTATATACATAAACAAAAAGGGAGAAATCAATGAATGTAAGAAAAACTGAAAAAAGCAAAGTTAAAAGGTATTCTTCACAACCAACACTAAGTCATACATTCGAAAACAAGATATAATTCTAATATATAAGGGAAAATGAAAAAGGGAAAGAAAATGGACAGTAAAACTATTTCTATCTCATCTATTCTGTTGGTACAACCAAAATTCAAGCAGCAATAAATTTAAATAAGGTTAAAAATAATTATAATTGAACGTTATTGATCTCACATTGGAGAAATTTACCTCTGCATTTACTCTTTGTTGATTAAAGTTTGGATTAATTAAATTAATGTGATAGAAATGAAAAAAAAGAATGCATGTAATCGGAAAAAAAGGCAAATGTGATAAATGCGAACAATGGAGACGCCGTTATATAACAACCTGAAATTTGACATATGCATACAGTGAGGAACATAAGTGCTCCCACTTAGAAATCATGAAAGAGGTTGAAATTATCATCATAGGTGCATATCAACTGTGAGAGACATAATATAGAAAAGAAAATCCACAATACATGACTTTTAACTATTTATTTATTTGTATGATACAGCTGCAAACGTATTTGAACACCTGTCTATAATCTAGAATTCTAAACCTGAAAGACCGGTTAGCCTGCCTTCAAAATGTCCACCTCCACTCCATTTATTATCCTAAATTAGATGCACCTGTTTGAGGTCGTTAGCTGCATAAACACACCTGTCTGCCCCATACAATCAGTAAGAATCCAACTAAAAAATGCTACAACTCCACAAGGCTGGAAAGGTCTACTTTACCAAATATTAACATTGACTTTCTCAGGTGTTCAAATACTTAAAAACAAAAAAAAAAATCAAATAATTTGATTTCTTGGGTTCGTTTTTAAAGATTTTGTCGGTTACAGTGGACAATTGCAGACCACCCCATAATGTCTAAGTAACACTAATTTTCCACACACTATATATATATATATATATATATATATATATATATACACACACATTATAGGAACAGCTTGTTTGAATTTCAGTGGTGCCACTTTCTAATAGACGGCGTGTTTTTCTGATACATTTCTCACCTCTACCTGTTACTGGGGTGCCTACACACCCAACTTAACAGCAGCTCTGTTTCATTTTCACACACCTTCTGACATTCATCTCAAGCACCCCCGTATTTTCTCACTCACGGTTTTGATCCGTCGCTTAGGGACAAAGACACACGTTTTCCCTAAATCCGGTGTCTCTGAGGACGCAGCTAAGTCTTACACCTGAGGGGGTTTGTTACAAGCTCTGCAGCTATGTTTCATGTTCTCAATGTGGGCTGCAAATCAGATTAATTGCACATGCAAATAGATGGAAAAAAAAAAACATTTTTTTTTTAGATCTTAACAGCTGTTTAGAAATACTTCTATTGAAACAATACATGAATTAACACCTTAACTTGAATTGTCAATTTAAACACATCTTGTTTCAAAATGCTTAGTGCTTCAAAATCCTGGATAAAAACTCAGGAAGATTTGCACAAGGGAAATGAGATTGAAACAAACCATGTCTATATTATTCATAAAAGGCCAAAGTCCACAGTAGGAAAATTAAAAATTTGGATTAGATCTGTTTCAACGCTTTTGCATGATTAAAAACCTGGATTGAATTATTAATTTATTTCGACACACTAAATCCTCTCAAACCCTTCAAATAAAAGGGTAAAATGTAATTGATTGATAATTTAGTTGCAACATTGGGTCAAGATTATTTCTTAATGAAATCATTGTCTTTTTTTCTTTAAACCTAGAGTCATAACACCTCATTTAGCTGATTAATATAAGTTTGTTAAATTATAATGCAAGACATATAGTTGTATTAACTGGTATGTTATTTAGTTTTCATGCAGCAGAGAGAAACCCCTAAAACCCCAAACTCGACATCTATGCAGGAGGTAGAAGAATTTGAAAGTAGACTAAGGGTGTGGGGAAAAATCGTTTTGGTTATATATTGTGATTTTCGGCTGCCTGATATAGTATAGATTTTTCAGTTCCTAGTATCGATTTTAATACCAAAACATTTTACCTAAAACAATTGGGGAAAATGGGCTACCTCTGCACCGTAACTGTGGTATATAGAACCACGGAGTCCTTTTGCTGTGAGTCAGTGACAGTGGAAGACATGGACTGACTACTGTACAACCCCAATCTAAAAAACAGAATACCTAAATGATCAATATCTTCTGATGAACATATACAGCACTTGCTTTTTAACCTAAACATGTAATTTTGATAGTTGAGAAAAATATCTTAATATGTAGTAATATTGCAATATCGTGATAATTTCGGATCTTGATCCAAGAATTGTGACATGCATTGTATCGCAATACCCATACCAATACTCACCCCTAAAGTAGACTATCCTAAGCTTCTTCAGGTCTAGCCCCAAGTGTTTGGTTCCAGCCACTTGGTGAGATCCAGTTTGCCTTCTCTGTGGTTAACGATCAAAGGTTAAATCTGAAGAAAAGACTGAAGAAAGACTGTTATTCACTTTCAGATTTAATGTTTTCTAGCTTGAGGGGAGACCTTTGATTTAGAAATGTCTAGAGGGGTTTCCACCAGGCATATCTGCAAAAAAAAAAACAACAAATAAATAAATGGGTGTAAATTTAAGAATTTCAAACATTTAATGAAACCTCAAGTCCTGTCAGTTTTTGGAAATATTTGTGTATGACTTGGAATACGAATGTGTATCTGTGATGTATTCTTGAGATAGGATGTATAGCTATATAATTTGTATTAAATGAAGGGTTTAAAGTGAATCTTCAATAGTGCATACAAAGAGTATGCATGGTGCAGCATGAGACTTAGAAAAAATGTGCATAGCCCTGGGCTAATTCCGTTGCAGTGGAGCATGTTTCTGGTTTATATGATATTGCTGAGCGCATTGTTTAGCAATGTATATAACATTTTGTGGATGCCTGATTATCATATGTAGGGTAAAGGCGATATCATGCATTATTTGATAAAGGCTGCATATACTTGTAAGCTATAGAAATACCAACCCCCATGAAATATTGGTAAATAGCGCAGCTATCAAAAGTTTTAAAAAGTACAAGGATTTAAATGTCATTTTGTAGGGATTAGTTACTGTAGTCATAGATTATAAGCATTCCTAGAGACCTTGCTCTCATTTAACACTGGTTGAAGTGGTTGAAATATCCTACAGTCAATTACAGAAGTTATTTCATCAACAATTTGGAAGAATTGTTCAGACAAACTGCTTTATTTTGGTAACTTTGCACTAGCTACAGAGTAAATTTTACACTCATTTGGAGTGGGATCAAATGGTATCTGACACAGAGTTATATTCAACTCTCTAGGTGTTAAAGTAATACTTGTTTTTTTTTTTTTTTTTTTTACTATGTACCAACAGATTTATTTCTTAAAGGACTTCTCCCATTTAGTAGTGGCATATTAAACAGCTACTACAAATGGAGTGTTAATTAAGCATGGGAATATTCCCTAGAGAATAGGAAGATCCAGATTTTAGTTTGGGCGTTTTGGATAATTGCATCTATCGTTACCCTATGGACCTTCAGTTTGAATTGTAAACAGCCATCGCATCGTTGTCAAACAACTAAAATATTCCCCACACATCAGCTTTATGATCATGTAAAGTGCAACGATGCAAATTCATGACTAAAGATTAAACAAGCACTGAATAAAATCAAATCAAGGAAGGAACCTGATTGATCTGACCAAGAAAACACATGCATCTAAGTTAAAGAGTGTCAGAGCCTGTTAAGATTCGAACAGGCTGTAAATCAAACAGCTTTGTCAGCTTTTCAAATTCTGACCATGTGCCATACACATGTGCCCCGTACTGTGGAGGAGGACGAGTGGAAGGTTTTTGATTTTTGTAAAATAATGAGTAAAGATTTTCTCTGTACTCATCCGTCTGTTTATTCATTCTTTTGTGCCTCCCTTATATGATGCTGCACTCTAAAAAAATATGATCGGCACAAGATGGTAAAAGCAAAATCAAAGTGTACTCAGTCAGAACCGATTTAAAAGAGGTGGAAGGAGCTGAGTCAGGACGCCTGGAGGTAGGATGTCAGGAAGCAGTGGGTGAGGTGGAGGACGGGAAGGAAAGGAGGAGGGGACACACTCCTCTTCATCTGCCTCTTTCTCCTTGTCATCATCAGTGGTGTCATCGAGGGAGGAGCAGCGTAGGGAGGAAAGAAGGGAGAGGTGGAGCTGACATCATTCACTTCCTGGAGGACCAGGAGGGTGTATCGGGGCGAGTTGCTTTTATCCACCATCTGAGGGCTTTAATGGACCCACATAACGACTGGATCAGAAACGCTGTGGGAACACTTGTCATGCTGAAATAATTCAGAAAACTG